CCAAAGAACATCCAACCCGCGAAATATTTTAACCCTAGACCCTTGGGGTCTAATCCTACAATACCAATATGTTTTTCAATAGCAAGACATGCATTCAGAATTGCTTCTGTTGCACTTGATTTATTTACGCTTGGATACCCAATAATTGTTGTAAAAAACGAGATGTTTGTTGGTGTTCCAGTGTTTGTTCGAATTTGACTACCGTTAACAAAGTGGCCAATAGCAGGTAACAACATCGTAACGAGATATTCGCGCGGCATTTGGCTGCTGGAACAAATGTTGTCTATCAGGACGCAGATATTTTCATCGAAAATTTCAGTCACGTCCATGGGATACATAGCAGCCTTTTGCATAATATTTCGTATCTTGTGAGCGGATATTCCTTTTGAAGACATTACGAATAACTTATAAAACACAATAGAAATGTAAAAAAAAAAGAGAGCAGTATGACGATGAACTATAGAAAAGAGTGATAGTGGTTGTTAAAAGAAGCGATTTAGTTCGTTAAGAGAAATGACCTTTGTATTTTTTTTCTTTGCGATGATCCGTGACAAAAAGAAGTATTTAGTTTAATACAATGGACAATCCATGCTGTCATTGTAATAAACAAATCTGTTTCTTTTCGAAATTTTTATCATCATCACTATCGAAAAATTTTTTATTGAAGATTCACATGTAGACAAAGAGAAATTTACGAACAGTTATTGTTCTCAAATCTAATGATACTTTAATTACCATAAAGACAAACGAAGAGCTGTGGCTATTCTCTGACTCTTATTACAATTATTTAGCTTGAATACTCATGTCTTTTTAAGACTTTATTACAGTTTCTAGTATATTCATACCAAATTTTTCAACATACCGTGAATATTTTTTTCAATTTATTATTATTTGTTTTGAAAATATTTAAACCATTATTTGTTGAACAATCTTTGATTTCAAATATAGATCAATTATTACTCACTCTTATATTTATTCTTTTGAAAATATTTCAAGTTTTACGTGTTAAAAAATCTTTGATTTCAAATATAGATCAATTATTATTCAATCTTATATTTATTCTTCTGAAAATATTTCAAGTTTTACTCGTTGAACAATATATATATATATGAACATTCAAGTTGAAATTTGCAAGTATTATAAGACTTTTTTGATTACATCTTTTTTTTCCTCATTATCAAAATATGAATTGATCTTTCTAATTGCTTGTAGTGCTGTTACAAACAAATAGATCATTATTTTTCTCTTTTATTGACTTTTCTCTGTCACTAAACGAGGTGTTTTTTTCACACTCTTTCTCTTTCTTCATTTCATACAATAAACACTTCTCATAATCATTTCCTTCTTCTCTCCATAATTATCTGATTTGTACACAAACATCCATCTGTGTTCCTATAAACGAGCGAAATAAATAAGATATAGGAAAAGCATTGAACTACGTAGTTGCATTAATTCAAATAATTTTTTTTTAGCAAGTTTTAGACGACATATTGAAAATATTAAAAATAAAAGGGTTTTTTATTTTAAAAATGCCGTCTACGTTGGAAACTAACGTAAAAGATCTTTTTTATCCTCTTACCTCAATGGAAATGGTAAGTACTTTTCTACAACTTAATCTTAGAATAAACAAGTTCGTTCCTCGCCGCATCTATCATATAACACGTATATTAAATCGTATATTTCAAACAAAATTTTCACCGGAACAAATAAAAATTCGTCTTGAAAATTGGGAATTGATTTTGCCGATGTATAAGGACTATATAGGAGGAAAATCTTTTGAAGAAATAGAAAAACAAATTAAAAATTATTGCTCTACTCAACATGAAAATTGCTCAGCATCTCTCTTAAATAGTTTTATACCATTAATCACACAATGTATAAATCCGAATTGTTCGAAAAATAGTCTGAGTGATCCAATTCCTCACCATGACATTACTATTTTTTGTTCAGGTGAAAGATTAAAAAAAGGAACAATTTTTTTTAAGAAGTGCTCTAAATGTAGTTATAAATATTTTTACAATTATTATATTCGACCTGACGGGCAAAAGATGCTAACTATTCATCCCGATGACGAAATTTTCATTGTTTTCTCTAACTATGGATATGAAAGCCGTTTTCTTATACAAATTGATAGTGACATTTTGTTTAAACATTGTGGTTTTTCTAACTGTGCTAATGCCTTCAATTACTTAAATTCTAAATTTGAAAAGAAAGAGGGTGAAACTATAAACCGGTTCCATCTTCAGAAAACATGGTTTCTTTGGCGACTTGGTCACTTTTATGAAAAGGAAAAGTTTCGAATGCCCGTTCCAGATCAACAAGATTTTCATACGATGCTTCTTGAAATATTACCATTTATTAAACAATTGTTTACTAGGAAATGGGGCAAAAAAGACTATCATAAGTTTTGTAGAGAACCCTGTAGTGCCACCATTGTGTTAGATGGACATCAGAAGGCTACACGAAGAGTTTGTGCGATCAAAAATATATCCGTTCCTAGTGTTGATGGATCTATACGCGATGTTAAAGTAGGATGTTCACATACGCCTGCTTTTAAAAGTAAAAAATGTCAGGAACATTTATTAACTAACGAAAATGTTGATGATAAACCACAACATTCAAATATTCGACTTTCTCGAAAAAATCATTATCTTAGAAAAAAAAAGAGAGCACAAGGAGTTCGATTTAATCTTCGATGTAGAACACTAAAATTTCCAGGCGAGCAAAGGACGGGTAAAAAGATTAGTCTCATATCTAGTCCTGACGGGACGTCCTGTATAGTCTTTTTCTCAAATCGGACTATACCATGACTAGTCTGGAAAAAGTTGTCGTCCATAATACCCGTCCAGACTATGTTACTGATGGGCGTCATTGGCTCTGACATGTCTAGTCTGTTTCACTAAAAAGACCCGTCTAGGACTAGTAAGAATCACTAATAGGTGGACTAGTCCTGTAGAAGGACTTTTTGAGAAAAAGATTAGTCAGGACGGGTAACAGCGACACCACATAGAACAAGTTGTAGTCTTGTGTAGTGAACGAGTTCGGACTAGTCTAAATGAAAATGTGTAAAGATGAAAGTTAGATTCGAACAAGCATACAATGTGTTACTTACCCATCGTTTAGACCATTGAGTCATATGATCAGCAGATCAACTCTCCACATACATAATCATTCTAAGATGCTATTTAATATAATTTTATTCCACGTTTTTGATGTTCGCATTTAAATAAAAAATTATCGTTTACAAAATAGGTCATTAATTAAACAACACTAGATAAAACAAAGTCAAAAAAATTTATATTTTTTGGATAAGTATTTTTTATTACTATTAAGTAGGAATAATTAGTTATGTTAAAAAAATTAATTTTAAATGCAAAAATAAAAAACAATTTATATTGAAAAGAAACTCGATTTTTCATATCATGATTTAGTTTACCTGAAAATTTAAATCATCGTGTCTTCAACTAAGTATTAAGTTAATTTTGTTTCAATTAAATCTACTTTTAAATTTAAAAATTTATTAGAACTGATATTTAAAGCAGCAATTATGGTACAAAAATATTTCAATTATTTTTTAGCTCTTTTTTTAAATTTGGTACATCTAATAATTTTAAAAAATATAAGTTAGCACTCCTTGTTGCTTGATAACTATTGCCTTTTATAGCTACTTCCACTTTTTAATGTTTTGATATACTCTTATATATTTTCAATATATGAAAATACAAAATATAATAAGATATATCAAGACAGATAGGAATGCACAAAGTATACTATCTATCTTTGATTTCACTATTGGCTATGACAGACTTTCTGATTGTCGTTCTAGAAAGAGAAAAAAACTAATAATACTAGTGACAATCGACATAATTTTAATACAAAATAACAATGCATGTTATTAATCTCCATAATCATAATACAATAGATCATGCTTAGTTATCAATTTACGAAAATCTAAGTACACTATAGGCAATAAAACGGTGGCTATTCTGTTATCTAGTCCAGATTCTAAATGCATATGATTATCCATCGATCATTTTTAACAAATGATATAGATGTTGAAATTTTTTTCTATTTACATACTACTTCTTTTCTTTCCATTACTTATCAGTTTAAACGAGTTTATATGATAATTCAGTCTAAAGAAAGTGACTTGATTAGAGTCTTTCAGACTAGTCTGGACTAGGATGAATGACACTCTTTAGAAAAGGACTAGTCGTGGCGAGTGAAGACGACGCGTCGGTATAGTCCTAACTACTATCGAAGATGTTCCAGACTAGTTAAAGTCGTGTGACATCGACTGGTTTCTGATTGTTTACGGGATGGAAAGGAATCAATTTTGTATTTTAGAATGTAAATGGGCGTCAGTTCATTCCAGTGTCCTAGTCTCCCGTCAGGATGATCGTCAGGTTTCGAATACTGTCGGGTTGGATGTTCGAATTCCCCGTTTATCTTCTTTTTTAAAACGCGGACTAGTTTGGACGGGTTCATTGGACAAAACGGACCAGGCATGACGGGGTTGGAAGACATTCTAGACTAGCCCAGACGTGTTCGAAGGACATTTCTCCTAAAGGTGACTAGTCATGTCGGATGTGCAAGACGTTTTAGACTAGACCTGACGGGTATTGCGGACATTTCGGACTAGTCATGTCGGCCATCATGCATAATTTTTTGCTTACTTGGGTTACAATATAAACGTATTTTACATCGTACGTCTGGTGTTATAGCAGCAGTCTATAATTGTGGATTTATTTGTAGTGTTTATGAATTATTTGGATCCGAATTGATCGCACAGGTCTACAACTTTCTTTTATATATGCATGAGAATATAGAAAATTTTCCAGATATCTTGATTTATGATGATGCGTGCCATTTAAAATTGTTCATTGAAAATTCCAATAATTTTGTTCAAAACACCCGTGCAAAACGAAAGCTAGAAAGACTAAAAATTTTTTGCGATAAACTACACTATCGAGATCATATTGATCCCTGGTGTCGTCAAAATACTAATCCTTATAAAGATTCAATTACAAATACTACTAACACTGAGATATGTGAACAAATATTTGCCTGGCTCGCGCAATACAAAAAATATTGTTAGAGGTTTTAATGAATCTACTTTTCTAATCTATATTTGTCTTCTTTGCGACTTGTTCAACAGTAACAAATATGAAGCTTTACGAACAGAATACCTTGTATCTCGTGCGCAGATAACTAGCAATGCCTAATTCATTTAACAAATACATACACATCTTCTTTTTGCTTTATTCATTTCGCTCGTTTATTGACTTCTGTATACTTATAGGCTCAATGGCTTGTTACTTACTTATTCACGCATTCATCGTTTTTCTTGTAAAACGAAAAAAAAAATCTTTCTTTTCATGCTATTGCTCTATAATTTTTTTTTATTTATGTAGTTAATGATTCATTTACTTCTATATATATACATTTGTAAGTATTGCTTTTTTTTAACCTTAATTGTCATTCTCATAAACTTATGATTAACAATCTTGATGTTTTTTTTTCAAATATCAATAATTTTAAATTATTATCAATGGATTTTTTTTCAGCAACAATTCCATGTTATGTTCCATGGATAATTTACATTCAATATTACACAATTTTTTTATCAAACATTATTCTTCATCATTTTTTCACTGTGTAACTAAAAACTTTTAATTTTTTTCATTGTTAATTAGAAGTAGCTTTTGAAGTTAAATAAAAACATATTGTTTGGTATAGCTCATTCATCAGCATTGTATTGTTGATTATTACATTATCTTCTATGAAAAAAACAAACTGATGCTGATCAAATGTTCTCTTCCTTACTCGTTCATTTTAGAGTGTAAAAGTTCATTAAACGTCTCTTTTGATAAGAATCAGACTTGCTGTTTTCTTTTTCAAAAAAAAATGTCTATCATCTTTTGACATATACTCAACAATATCTTTTATGCAAAGTTTGGATGGTGACGGATCACTTAGTATGATGAATGTATTGGCCTGAAGCTGTTTTTATGCGCATACGTGACTGTTTTTCATGCATTTGTTCGTTAACAGCCGAAGGAATGATATACATCATTACTTGCTTTATCTTGCTCACTCCTTCTATCTGACAACATTATTATTCCCACATTAAAAATAAAACGTTAAACTCTCAGGACACTAAGTCGACTTCGAACCATTGCTTTACTTATCGTCTATCGTCAACAACAGTTTTAAATTAATTCCATATCAAAAAAATTCTGGTACAGTACAGTTTTATCTGTAACTTGAAGTTATATTGGATTTTTTTACTGCTCATTTTTAATTGATGAAAGAGATTTACCAATTGTCTAATTAACCACAGTTGTCTTATTTCTTTAAATTGTTTCAATTTTTTGTCAGTAGCTATTAACACATCTTAATTTAGAAGAACGTCAGTTGTTGTTGTCTCTTTATTAGTATAAGGCGGTCCATTTTCAAAACTTATACATAGTTTTAAAAAATTCTTCATCACGATGAACTTCAAAAATTTCCTTCTTCTTCTTTTGTTCTTTACATTTGATGTCGGTCTAACTTTTCGTATAAAAAGTAATTTTCTTGATACTGTCAGGAATAGTACTCTTCTTCATCATAAAGAAACCAATACCGTGTGGGAATATTTGGGCACATATGCTCAAACGGAAGACACAATTAATTTTGTTCTTGAAATACCTGTATTTCAATTCATGTGTGATGTTTTCCCAGTCTCATTGGCTTTTGCCATGCAAGCTTGTATACAATATCGAACTCGTATTTTAGATAACGGTAGTGCACGTCGATTGAATGAATTGTTTGAAGCTCATATCGGAAAACGAGAAAAGCGGCAATTAGAAGAAGGTTTATTATTGGGAGCTGCATTCTATGATGGATATAGGATTATTGGTGATCTTTTCCGAGGGAGTAATGATGAAATAATACATAGGTTGGACGAAAGTGAGAATTTTCAGAAGCATCAAGAAAAATTAGATGATGTGTTGGTTACGTCTATTTTATCGTTGGAAGATAATAATCTTGTTTTGTTGAAGAGTTTTAAAAGTCTGTTTGATAGTGTCAATGCGACACGCTCTTTGATTCATAGCTTGTTGAAGATGTCGTTGAGAGAACAAAGAATGTTTACAGGTTGGGCAAAATTTTCTTTGAAGGGCGAAATGCGTAGACATTATGAGCAAATGATATCTACATTCTTAAGAGTTGCTAATCATGACTTGAATTTAGAGATGTTCTCGCCAGAACAGAGAACATTTATTCACGAGTTTTCGTAGAATCGTATTCGACTTAACTTGCCGTTGAGTTTTTCTGCTTCATTAGCACAATTCGTACCAAATCTTCTTGTACAACAAATAATCTCTTTTTTCCAAATAAATGAAAGTGAAATAATGTACGAATTAACAGAAGATGACTTCAGTTTTGTTGTTGAAACAGATTCACATGATGTAATTCATCGAAATGGAACAATTGATCTCGATTCGATCCTTCCAAAAATTGTTGGTCACGCTCGAATTGAAAATTTTTTTGGTATTCCAACACATTTCTCGAAAAAGAAAATGGATTTGTATAAAATAACACGTCTACCATTATTTGTCGATGAGAAAAAAGCTGTGTATGCAGCGAATCTTCCTCGTTATTTATCGTTAGGGGAAGATGGAAGTTCATCCGAGTGGTTTGATCATACCAATCGAAGGTGCACAGTTGATGAACAATCGAGATATATGTTTTGTTCTATTCCGGAACCTGTATTTAGTTCCATTCAACATCCTTGTCTATGATCGATAGCATTGAAAACTTCAAGAAAAAATTATTTAAAAAAAACAGTTGATTTGTCGTCACCGCATGTTGTTAAATTTGCATCTAACATACATCAAATCAGTGTACACACCTCGTTGCAATGCTTTGAAAAAAGGTGACAAAGATAATAAAAATGTATTTCGTGATATAACTAAGGTAACTATCATCAAACACGTTGTAATAGTTTCGTTGCTTGTGGTACACTTGACTTTTCATCTGTAGGTGGTGTTTGTAATAAGACCGAAAGTTACATATTTACTTTCAATGACACATATGAAAATCCGTTTAAACTTGAAAAATCGGTAAATCCTGTTGACGTGGAAATTGATAACCCGACCCAAATGAGGATGTGGGTGTGAGTGTGGGTATGGGTGTTTGGGTGTGGGTGGATGTGAGCAAAGGGAGTACCAACACCCACACCCACACACCCATACCCACACCGACACCCACACCCACACCCACACCCACACCCACACCTACACCCACAACCCACACCCATACCCACACCCACACCCACACCCACACCCACACCCACACCCACACCCACACCCACATCCACATCCACACCTACACCCTCACCCATATCCACACCCACACCCACACCCACACCCACACCTACACCTACACCTACACCCACACCCACACCCCACAACCCACACCCACACCCACACCC